TTTTTCTTAGCACTTTTAAGTGATCCTTTTTAACCAATGTTTTGTTTAATTTTACTTGTCATTTTCACTACTAAAAGAAAAGAAAGATTTTAGCTGCATTTATACAACTTTTTATTTGTTTTAAAGATTAACAAATACAGCAAGGGGGTGTATTAGGATCAATAGAAATTAATAGGCCTAAATAAAACCAAAGATAGAAATAACCACAAAAAGTTCAATAAAAATTTTATTTCCCCATATTTATGTATACCAAATTAGCTAATAGAAATAGCATAAATATTAAATAATATTCCTTATTATATGTGACCCTGGACCACAAATCCAGTCATAAGGTCAATTTTTTGAAATTGAGATTTATACATAATCTGAAAGCTGAATAAATAAACTTTCCATTGATGTATAATCTGGAGATAGGACGATATAGTTAGTAGGTAGTAGATATAGTTAGGATAGGACGATATTTGGCCAAGATACAACTTTTTGAAAATCTGGAATCTGAGGGTGCAAACAACAACAACAACAAAAAAAGAAAACAACATTTAAGAAAATCACCTTTAATGCTGTCCAAATTAATTTCAATGCATATAGCCTATTACTAATCAAAAATTAAGTTTTGATATATTTACGGTAGAAAATTTACAAAATATCTTCATGGAACATGATCTTTACTTAATATCCTGATGATTTTTGGCATAAAAGAAAAATCGATAATTTTGACCCTTAAAATGCATGAGAATGCATTGTTGGCTATTGCTACAAATATACCCGTGGTACTTAAGACTGGTTTTGTGCTCCAGGGTCACATAATAGCCTACATGATGCAAAAGAGTGAAAATACAACCACAAAAATAATTTACCCGAATGCTGTTAAACAAAAATTAGGAACAAATTTCTTTACCTGAAAAGTCCTCCGAGTTTTCCGCCATTTTTAGTTTTTAACCTTTGACTCATGACTAGCACCCATGGCATTATGGGATAATAAACTAAAGTGTTCATTGTTTGCACATTTCGAGAATGCAGTTGGTCGGTCATCCTGTTTGTTCGCCATCTGTTTCGTGAATGTTGCATATTTGGACAACTAAAGTCAAGAAGCAAGTTCTTTGTATACAGTACATTCCTAAATCTGACGCAGCTAGTGTGTTTTACTATACAGTAAAACTAGGCCTGGTGGTGGAGCCGGAGAAACTCTAATCCCGGGTTTACTCAACAATAAAGACCAGGTGTGAAGTGTTTTGGTTGAATGAAAAAAAATCAGAGATATTTAAACTGATGATTGATGGTGACTGAACAGCGCAAACAAACTTGCCCGTCTGATTTCTTCAGTCAACATACACTCGTGACAGCGCACGCGTTACTCTCATCTGCCCACAGAGGGCGCCAGAGCGACGGAAATAATCCACCAGACTACTCCACATCTAACCTGAAATCTGTAAGGGAACAAATTCAGCTGCCTCGTGAACCTGAAACAAACCTTGACCCAGTGCCCTACACATTCGAGAAGCCGTGAATGATTCATGAGCTTCGGTGTTAGTAGGTTTTGACCCTCAAACCTCAGCGTTAATTTTTCAGCAGCAGAGCTGGGTTAAGAGTTTAAGCAGCTAAACTCCTAGTCTGGTGTCTGTCTGATCCGTCAATGAGGACTAGATGGTGTTGTAGATATTTCAGCATTTGCCTGAACTGATTTATGTAATCCTGATTTAGGGTCAACGTTGTCTGCATACTGAGAGTGTTTGAATAAAGATTATTATGAGGTGAGTGTTCATCAACTCATTTGTACCAGGTGATCTACTAAGTCACCACACACCTGGACTACTTCAATGTGAGCAAGTTGCTCTACTTTTTAACCTATGTTTTACTGACAAACAAACATTTTGTGAGGACACATGTGCGGTTGAGAAGAATTCCAATGCCTCCCTGCCCTTAGGGTCTTCTGAACAAAGAGAGCTTTCACATTTTAGCAAGGAAAAAAGTGTGCAGTAGGTCACGGCCCAGGGTTGTGTTACCTGTATCGTAGTAATGCACCTTTAACTGCATTGTCGTGATCATAAAAAACGAAGCCGAACTTGACTGGAACAGATAAAAAGAGGAAAATGTTTGTGAAGACTAACAAATCAGAAATTTTTCATTTACATATTTATTAAAAGTACAACAATAACAACCACACACCTTACTTCAATGTGAGCAAGTTGCTCTACTTTTTACCCTATGTTTTACTGACAAACAAACATTTTGTGAGGACACATGTGCGGTTGAGAAGAATTTCAATGCCTCCCTGCCCTTAGGGTCTTCTGAACAAAGAGAGCTTTCACATTTTAGCAAGGAAAAAAGTGTGCAGTAGGTCACGGCCCAGGGTTGTGTTACCTGTATCCTAGTAATGCACCTTTAACTGCATTGTCGTGATCATAAAAAACGAAGCCGAACTTGACTGGAACAGATAAAAAGAGGAAAATGTTTGTGAAGACTAACAAATCAGACATTTTTCATTTACATATTTATTAAAAGTACAACAATAACAAACATTTTTTTCTCTTGACAAACTTTAAAGATGGAGAGAAATAATAACGATTATATACTTGTACAAAGAAGAAATCTAACAATGTCAAGCACAACAATCACCACTAAGCCACAACGTTACTTAATTCGAAAGATTAACACAAGCACAATAAATGCACATTACTTAAAATATATTCAACAATTTGTTGAGAAAATGAGATTTGATTTTTTTTTCCTCTCAAAGAGAACACTTAATGTTTGCTTAAATGGACAATAAATCATTTCCTGAATAATTTCAGTACCCTCCGTTTAGTCTTTTTCCGGATGACATCAAGGTTTAAATACATTTCAAGGAATCCTATTCAACACAATAACACTCTGACTTTATCAAAGTAGAGCATCTAAATCACCCAACAGCACTTATGAACATTTATGCACACAGATGTCACACATCTGTCGGCAAAGTACATAATGCACCTAAACGCTATACTTTCTTCCATGATTCCTGTACAACACATTGGGAGATCGGAGGATTTCAAAAGGCATGCAAAGAGCTCCTCACTGCAAGCGCATCACACTGACCTGCGGCGAACTGAAAGTACTGTACAGGATCTGGCTTTCACAAAGCCCATTGTGACATTTCCCTTCTTCAGGCCCTTCTCCATATCCTATGAGCATCTGACGTATAAAAAAACTACATGGTTAACCTTACAAAAACCTGCCAGCAGTACAAGCCCCACCTTTCAAACACAGAGGTAAGAGCATTTACTTTCCCGTCCCACTTCTGAAAAAATATTTGGTAGCAAAATAGAGTCTACAGTACAAATGACATGGATTTCAGAAAATAGGCATGCATAATTAATTTATTAAACATATTTACAAGTTCAGCTGAGAAAAGATCACAACCCTGAGTGGTCCAACACTGGACAACCCACTTACTCAACAATACGGACGAACGCCTGTCTCCAATACACTATTTACAAACTCTGTTATGAAAGTTGCTACGAAGGCACACTCACTCAGTTTTGTTTCTGGAGGATGAGAGGACATGAAGACCCGCAGGTGTGTGTGCATACGGTATGCACAGACACGACCGCTACTGTGAGATATGAAGTGCCAACTTCTTAGTGCACAAAATGATGCAATGCCCAGTTTTTAAAATCTACCACAACACACAGAGAAACTTTTTCTCCAAAGCGGACAATTGAGAGACCTCACCAGACCTTGAAGAGCTCCTCACCCACTCGCAAAAGACACTGAGCGAATAACGATGAAAGCGCGACACAACACATGGAGTTATAAGAGTGATGAATCCTATAAAAATCAATAATTCACATTCATTCACACAGAGCAGACGGCCGGTTCACTGCAGACAAAGATGAAATCAACACTAGACCAGATACTACAAAACGCTCACTGAGGACTGCTGGCACAGTTATAACATCCTCAAATAATGTCCACATACATGCTTAGCTTGATGAGAGATGAAAAAAAAAAACACTACAACTGGAAAACTGCTGTAGGAAGAGTATCAGGCTCTAAGCATCTGTTCAATGAGGCCTAACATTTCAACGTAACATAACAGAGATATTGTGAAGCATAGATAACACTTTCACAAGTGTTACATAAACTGTTATGTGCATATATGAGGTTTGTTACATAGTATTCTGTGTAGTGAATTTTAAAAAGGTGAATTGCTAATGTACGTGTATTTTTTTGTTCTATAAAGAACATTTCACTGCCTAGGGCAAAACAGGATATGCAAATTCAATGTTGTGGGGAAACTCAAAATGAAAAAATATTAACTTGGGTTTTCAATGTTGCTAAAAAAAAAAGTGTCAGATTTTAGGAGGAAGTTTAAGAGCTCTTGATATGTACTACAAAACATTATGGACCAAGTTTTCATTATTATGACAAAACCAAAAAAAGAACAAAAATACAGTTTAACTGATATCTGAAAAACTTCATATTTTCACTTTACAAAAAAAGCACTTTTTTCATGTCAAAAAAAAAAAAATCAAGCCTTTCATATACCTGTTATGGTAAACATGTACCTAACACAGCATCATAAAAGACAGGACAGAGGAGAGATCTTACATATACATGCTATATAACAACATATAACATAAATGGCAATATTTTATATCTATCATGGCATAACAACAACATAAAAAAACGAATATATACATATACTGTAATACACTCCTCCAACATGAGACAAACACGTGTGCTACGTGTGTGAGTCTGTGGAACCCAATTGGTTGGTGGGTATGAAGGTCTTCAGCCTTACACTCCTGAAAGAACTTGATTTTTTCCAGATCTTGTGGTTTGTATATGATGTATATGTGTAGGGAGCATTTTTCAAAGAACAAAAATACAGTTTAACTGATATTTGAAAAACTTCATATTTTCACTTTACAAAAAAAGCACTTTTTTCATGTCAAAAAAAAAATAAATCAAGCCTTTCATATACCTGTTATGGTAAACATGTACCTAACACAGCATCATAAAAGACAGGACAGAGGAGAGATCTTACATATACATGCTATATAGCAACATATAACATAAATGGCAATATTTTATATCAATAATGGCATAACAACAACATAAAAAAACGAATATATACATATACTGTAATACACTCCTCCAACATGAGACAAACACGTGTGCTACGTGTGTGAGTCTGTGGAACCCAATTGGTTGGTGGGTATGAAGGTCTTCAGCCTTACACTCCTGAAAGAACTTGATTTTTTCCAGATCTTGTGGTTTGTATATGATGTATATGTGTAGGGAGCATTTTTCCTATGACACACTGGAGCAGCGGATGGAGGGGGAGCCCATCTGAGTGAGCACTTTGTCCAGCCACTGAAGAGGACCGTTCAGGTGCAGTTCTATCCAGCAGGGGGTGCTAGTCACTGTCTGCCGCCTGACAGCATTAAAAAGAGAGAGAAATAAAGAGAGTTAAGAAAGAAAAGAGATTAAACAAACTCACAGTATTCAGACATTTATGCAACACTTTAATATGTGAATTTAACTGCATCAGATCACTGTTTCCAATATTTGTCTCAGCAGATCCCTTGCATGCATATGCACTTCATATCACATTTCTTTAGCAATGAGCAATTTCAGTGATTGGCACTTGAATATCATTGCACATTATCTGTTGCATGCCTTTGTTTGGATCACAAATATTTTGAGACCACGAAAACATTTTTTTGGGGGGAAAGTGTGTTCTTGCATTTACTTGTCAACTGTGCTACAATTTAAAACTTACCAACCCTCTTTTGAAATATTCTGCTTATCATTCTATATAATAAATGCCACTTGTTTAGATATTTCATTATCTAATGCAATGAAATTGGAACATTAAGTGTGGTTTAAAGGGATTGCTCCACCAAAAATGAAGATTGTGTCATTTTCACACCCTCATTTTTAAAATCTGTATGATTTACCTTCTTTAGTTGAACATAAAAGAAGATATTTTGAGAAATTTCTAGAAGTTTGTTTGTTTTGTCCATAAAATACACATCAGTGGTCACCAAAATATCTTCTTTTGTGGTAAAATAAAAAGTCATACAGGTTTAGAACAACATGAGGCTAAGTAGATAACAATTTTTAATTGTGGGTGAACTATCCCTTTAAGTTTCCACCATGTGATCAAGCAAAAAAAAAAAAAAAAAAAAAAAAAAAAAAAAATATATATATATATATTAAGGTTTGTTTCGAAAACTAATAATACATTGATTTTTCTGTTCAAGTTTGTATGGATTCTTGAATTGTCCACTAACATCCTTCACTGTGAATGACTAGCAGGAGATCCCAGAGTTCACCGGTTTGTCTGGATATGAACGATGTGTGTAAACTCTGCTCTGCTGTTCTCCCTCACAGGGACGGTATTCACTGCCAAACACACTTCTTTTACATTCCACAATGCTTACACAATACTTGTCCCCTCGCTTGTGCTCACATATAAACATGAACAGACACAGTCTCAGAACCGCTGTTCACAACACCTTACACTGCTCTACTTCTCAATGGGACTTCCTCTAATCCTTCCACCCACACACACACACACACACGCACACACGCACACACACACACACGTGTGTAAGTCTCTCCTGAATCTCAGTCCCTCTCCTCCTACATGAGTTACAGTCACTTAAGCACTAAGAGAATAATTCAGAAAAAAAAAAACTAAATCTATAATGAAAATAGCCAGCAATATATTTCAATATCGATTAGGCAAATCTTTACACTGTGCAGAGAGTGAACCTCTGAGAGTGACACCACTTTCAAATAGTTCAAGTAGTGAAAAACATTTTGATGGGGAGAAAGATTTTTCACATTTTCTACCATTTTCATTACAGCTCTATCCAGCAATGATGTGTCTGCCCACTGTTTTTGTTCCCTTGCAGCTTCTTGTATTGATCTCTCATTCTTCAACATGAAATTCTCAGTAAATTTTTCAGTGCAAGTTTAAAAGAACAGCATTTATTTGAAATAGAATTCCTTTGTAACATTATAAACGTCTTTGCTGTCACTTTTGATCAATTTACTGCATCTTTACATGCTATATAACAACATATAACTTAACATAGAAACTCATGTTGAAGAATGAGAGATAGTGGAAAGAGAGAAAGCAGGAGAGTAAGAGTCAAAACGGGAGCTAGGAAGGCTTTTTCTAAACTTAAAAGTTGCCTCTTCTATGCAGATACTGTGAAATGATTAGTACATTTAATGTCAAGTTTTGGACAAGACAAAAATTTAAAAAAAAAAAAATGAGCAGAGGTGAAATCAAGTGTCATTATCAACCAAGTAATCTGGGGCAGCTTAGGTGACAGACAACTGAAAGAATATAAAGCTGAATTCAGACAAAGGCACTGTGCTGTTCTACGTCATGATGTTCACTGACGTGATTGTAAATACAGGGTCCAACCAACCAAAGTGCTCAAATGGCATTTTTAAACTGCAACAGGGACAGTTTGTCAGCACCTAAAGAGGTGGATCTGAAGGTGGGGAGACGTGGAGGGGCGTGAGAGAGAGAGAGAGAGAGAGAGTGGGTGTCTGGCGAAACTCGACACAGCTCAGATTGTGTCTCCACACGCCAAGCTGTCTGAAAACCACAGTCTCACTCTCTCTCACACCAGTCTTACTCTTTCCTACTTTCTTCTCAAGCTTTCGTTGCAGATGTCCCTGGTCAAAACCCACAACTGCTTCTGATTAGGGTCTTGGTTCCTTGGGCTCAAACAATGAAGTTACTCAAAAGCGCAAGAGGGGGAGAAAAAGAGAGAGAGAGAGCAGGAAACTCTGACGTTTTGAAGCGCACCATGTGTGAGTTTGTTTGGTGTGGAATGATTTGCCAGCGCAGACCTAACAGTTTATATGAAGGACACGCTAAACTGGTTGTGTTCCTACGTCAGCTCTTCAGCAGAGCAAGCCAGACCAGGAAAAACACCGGCAAACCACAGCCTGTCAGACCCTGCCTTGACCCCGCAGGCCTGTCTATACTTAAATAGCAACGACACTCCCTGCTATTGTTCTATGGAGCGGTAAAATGGGTTTGGGTTTCCTTTATTAGCAACTACTATTTATATCTGCTGATATTAGAGATTTTTTACTTTATCGCTTTAGTCGACATTAGATATTAGGGATGCAAAATATTATTAAAATACTGGCCGATACCAAAAAGCTGATTATTTTCAGCTAATCATTTTCAGTTTAATACATTTGAGATAATCAACTGTTATGCATGATATTAGAATTCTATACTATTTTGTCAAAATAACTAACTAAAAAAAAAAAAAAATGTATATTAAAATTTCCAACTGATACCAATAAATTAAAAAAATCTCTTAATACTGGCTGATGACAAATATGGTGGTTATATATTGTGCAGCCTTATTGGATCTATATCAGCCAATACCGGATATTTAATTGCGCATGTTTATTTAACCTATTGTTACACGTAGATTACCTTTGCCATCATCTAACACTCACTTAAAAGTTCATCTTTAAAAACAAAAATTCATTTTAATAACACTTTTAATTGTTTTTTAGCATCTTTAGTGAATCTCTTATTATAAATATTCAGTACTGACCAATATCTGAATATTTAACATTTCTATTATGGTTTCTCTTTATGGTCTATTTATTGCGCATGTTTATTTAACCTATTTTTACACGTAGATTACCTTTGCCATCATCTAACACTCACTTAAAAGTTAATCTTTAAAAACAAAAAATTCATTTTAATAACACTTTTAATTGTTTTTTAGCATCTTTAGTGAATCTCTTATTATAAATATTCAGTACTGACCAATATCTGAATATTTAACATTTCTATTATGGTTTCTCTTTATGGTCTATTTGATTAAAATCAAGACATTAAAATAAATCTAAATGTAAAAAGCTGTAATGTTTTGACGTCATTGAGTATTCATAATCCCTTTTCTACAAAAAGCTGATTACGACAATCAAACTCAAAGAATTTAACAGGAAGTGCGGGTGGCTTCTGTGGTTTTGGGTAACACCACTTCACAAGTGATTCAAAAGTCTTTGAGCGAGTCAAATGAAGGCCACATTCCAAGAGTGGCAAGCGAGCTGATAGATATGGAAAGAGAGAAGTGATTGCAGTAATTGTACCTGTACTCGGCTCCCCAGCCCTTCACGAAGCTCATGCGAATGGTGCACATGCGGGTGAGCTGGTACACGGCCTCAAAGCCCTGATTCACAGACTGGGCTAAAAGAGCTGCAAACTCCTGGTTATTAAAGATCTTCAGATTACAGCCTGGATGGACACAAAGCAGTTTGAAACACAGTTCATAAACTCAAAGACAAATTGATTTAGCTGAACGTCATGCGACTATCAAGAAGGAAGCTCTGCTTTAATTCTTTTAAGTACAGCTATTCAGTAGCTCAGTTGTTGAACTCTCTCTTAATGAGGGCTATTTGTTGAGGGTCTCTTGTTTTATCTTACCAGGTGGGATCTTGCAAACAGTGGCGGGGTGCCAGCCGTAACGTTGGTTACAGTTGGGACTCTGAACAAAAATGGCACTGTCACTTAGACACTCTGCAAACACCTCACCTCCAATGTAGTACAAACGCACACCCCGGCCTGCAAAAACAAATGGTTGCCACATAAGCAAGTAGATAAAAAAAAAATATATATATATATTTATCTTTAAATGATGTTGTCTAATGAATGAGTGATTTAGAACGATGGTGTGTGTACCAATGTGTCTGCGTGTGAGTTCCACAGCAGCGTTGCGATTCACGTTGGACAGCAGGCCCAGGCAGAAGCGCTCAGAGTTGGATGGGTCTGTGAAGCCGTCTACTGTTAAAGAGGGCTGAGAGGCATGGAAAGTTTCACCGACTCTCTGGTTCAGCTCATAGTAGGAAATAGAGCACCAGAACGCTGGTTCACAGTATGTCACCGGCTGTAGATCTGAAAGAAAGCGGAAAAAAGAACAATAAAAGGAGAGAATCTGAAAGGCACAGACATGCACAGAAATAGGCGGTGGAAAAGAAATAGAAAAAAAGACAGGAAAAAGAAAAACAAACAAATGGGTGGGGATAACCGAAGAGACAGAGCACGGGGGCTGGGAACTGACGACACTGTGATGTCAAGAGTAAACGTTACTTCCCAGAAATAAAGGCTGAATCGGGAAATACCATCATCACTTCGACGCAAAACTGTAGAAAATTACAGGCTTATGGCATTTACACATACGCACACACCACTGTTGTGGAGAAGAGAAATCCCTGTGGGATCTGAGCGCTTGTCTGAAAAAGCACGATCTGATACAAAAGGAACTGCGGGCCCTCCTTTGCTAAGATGGTAACTGACAGGATGTTTAGTGTGGGTGGTTTTCATCCAAGTTGTTTTGGGGACATACAAATAATTCTTTCAGCAATCCATTTCCTCTGAGAGACTAAAAACACATTTCTACCAACACTCTACTAAATGTGTATTTTAATTTCACACTGTTATATGAACAATCAGTTGTGCACTGATTTAGGTTTCACGAGCTTTAAAATACATGTAATACAGTAAAAGTCCTTTAGTTGGACATAAGGAACATAATGACTACAATAAGCGAATAAGAACTACTTTAACTGACTCAGTCAGAGAGTGAGTCATTAGACTGATTCAAACTGTTAACTCATCAGTTCAAGACTGTTTTGTCCGATTCATTAAAAAAAGAACTAGTTCATACGAGTCATTTATTCACGACAGTCTACACGTCTGTGCTGCATGTTTGTGTTTTTGCGAGGTATGTAGTTTATTTATTGTCTTTGTATCAGTTTGCGGTGGTCAGTCTTTGTCCAGCTAGCATCTTTTTTTGTTGTTGTTGTTGTCATCATGGCTCTGTAGATTCAGCAGCAATGCAGCTCTGTTGTATAGTAGTGTATGAAACATTACGTATTTTAGCATAGTGTTCTGTTGTACCAGCATCTGAATCATGAGGAAGAACTGTTAATGCAACCGAATGTCAGGAAGACTTGGAAGATGTCCCACAAATGGTGGCTCCCAGGAGCATTTGGATATTTAAAAAAAAGCATGAATGTCTTTTCATTAATAACAAAATGTCAAAGCAACTGTCATTTATTTTAAAGAAAGACAGCACAAGCAAATTCTTCAAGCAAACATGATACAAAAAGACAGTTCTTAGATTTTAAATGATAAAAAACTTATCTTGTTTAAACTTGCCACAATACACCAATATTTAAAAGCGAGACCCACATCTGAAAAAAGTTAGCTTGCCAGTGAGGGAGTTTTTTTAGATTCCATAAAAAATATGGGGAGTTAAACCATAGATATGTATACGTAGATACCTCATTAGTGACTGTTTCTATGGGCCGCTATACATAAGCCGTCCTCCATATTGTAGTGGTCAACTTGACATCATTCACCATAGTAATCACTGAATATTCGAAAGATGCCACAATCCTGCACAGAACGGCTCAACGGCTCTGTGAGAACCTACAGTATGGTGAATGACGTCAAGTTGACCGTTCCAAGATGGCAGTGGCATCTACGTGCCTGGAGCCGTCGAATGGGGCATCTATACATATCTAGGAGTTAAACACCCTAATCTGTAGGAAGATCAACAAGAAGGTCTTTTTGTACGCTATTGGCCAGTTGTGGTTACTAACTTACTCCATCTCCCTAAACTTGTATTTTGAGTGTGATTCATTGCAGAAAACACACAAGTTAAAGATGAATTTAACTTGAATTTAATTTGTTGTTGTTTTTTAAAATTTCTATATATTGTGATGATAGCGTCTATATCTTTTTGCCTTGCAAATCATTATTTCACAGAAATCTGACATCATGACAGCCCTGATAAAGACAAAAATAATCTGGACTCCACCTGATGGTCAAATGTTAGTAAATCATGTTCATAGTTAACATGATGAACTGCACTTGTGATTACTCTGCTAGGACACTTCCGTGAATTCACATGCAAATGATACACACACAAGCAATAAGAGTTACCTAAATTGTTGTGGGCAGGAGAAACAGGGTTCGGTGACAGATTTGGAGAGCCTGAAAAGAAAAGGACAGATCAATGATTTAACGGTGTATGAATGTACACAGCGCATTTTGATTAAATCACTTTTGATTAGATTTCCAATAATTCAAGTGTGCAGAGTCAATTATTCCACTTCCATTACACTCCATCACATTTACCACGTGTTTGTCTCATTTGTCAAATTTTTTAGGTTTTCATCCCTAAATGTTCTTCTGCGTAGATCCATTTCCCTACACCACTGATTGAGTATCAGAAAGAAACTCAAAAACAATGTGGAAAAGTGATATGGAACTGAAATGCCACCAACAAACCTGGAACTACTTCATAGCCGTGCAGTTATTCGAATACAAACACTTAAGGCATATTTTAACAATCATAAATCTGTGTTTTTTTTCCCTGTTGAAACAGCATTTAAAGAAAAAAAAAAACAATACAGAGGAAAAAAAATAAATAAATAAATAATAATAATAAAAAGGGGGGCGAGGGTCTTAATCTAATAACATGTATAAGTCCAAAGCAGAAAGAAGTTTCAAAGCATTTCTGTCCATCATCCATTGAAGGGATTTTGCAAATAACTTCAAATCATTCTTCAATCCAGTGAAATGGGGTTTAACCTTTAAATACTTACATCTGTGGATAAAGTGTTTGCCTAACACAATCAGGTTATTTATTAAAAATTCTAAATTTTTATCATTTATCTCTGCTCCATTTATCAGTAAACTTGATATTGCCTTATTTTCCTGTCTTCTCTTCTCTAAATTACTGAAGTACGAGGTGTTCTTTTCTCCTTGCTTTTAGCGATTGTGCTAACCTCCATATCGTAGTCATGGTCAGAAAATTCAACATGTCAACCAATCAAAGAACGCAACATCACGGTGGTATAACAGGCATCACCTGTGTCCATACTGCGGTTCATCTGATGATCACTGGTCTCTCCATCCTCACTGATGTAGCCTGGAGGGGGCGTCTCTGTAACACACACAAACACGCAGGTTAGCCTGCATACACACAATTCATACACACTTGTTACACAGTGACCCAGCTGATGGATGAAAAATTAGGAACACCAGCAAACACATCCGGCAAAATCTAGCAGGTGCAGCAGAGACAATGACTCACAAGGATTTTATTTTTCCCCCTCAGATTAAGACACCTGATTTAGAAAGCTGTGGTCAGCTCAGTTCAGCAGCAGGATATGAAACAATACACACCGCTCTATTAAAGTAACAGACTGCCTCTCTAAAGGGACTAATCCCGGCCAAAGCCACTCCATACATACTCCATGGGATAATCTTCCCCTTATGTAGCCAAAAGCAGTCTTTAAATCACTTCAGCATAAATTGTTTTGTGTCTGCCTGATGCAACAACGGTTAAATGTCTCTTGATTAATCCTACAATTATAATAAATGACAGAACCGTAGCAGTCATTTGTTTACTGGTCAGAAAAGAAGAAAACAGGCCTGTAAGTGGGATTAACATGAGTAACTAGTAAACGCTGTGATTGTTTACGCCCTTTTCTCTTTCGAGTTCCTTGTGTGTACAACTGAGGTTTCACATGTACTCTGTGTGTGTCTAAGGAAATGAGTGTGTGCCATTATTCTGGTCTTCAGTATCACATGATTCTTCAGAAATCATTCAATGCTAACAATGTTGTTGAAAACAGTTGTGCTGTTTAATATTTCAGTGGAAACATGGATTTGTTTTTTTCAGGATTCTTTGATTCATAGAAGATCAAAAGAACAGCATTTATTTGAAATAGTCGTCTTTTGTAACATTATAAATTAAACATTAAGTCCTTCCTTCACTTTAATGCATCCTTGCTGAAAAATATAATTTCTTTCAAAAGAAATTTTTTTTTTACTGACCCTAAACTTTTGAATGTTGGTGTATATACAAGAGGTCAGAAATGCATATGACAACTTTATTTATAATGTAGACGTTGGACAAAAGTCAATGACTGCCTTCTGACCTGTCAATCAACCACTGAGACAAAACAAGGGTTTTAAACTTTGTAGTTTAAATGCAATTTTAAAAGAAAATAACCATCCAATAACAACATTTGCAAAAGCACAAAACTACAACTAAAGCACATCCCAAGTTAAGTTACAGTTATAAATAAATACAGGTATAAATATCTAAAATAATTCTGCTTGAAAAATTATATTTATACATAATTACAATTCTGATTTATTTTTAATGAACATGATTTTTCCCCATGCGTTTACTTTTCTTTATTGGTGCTTCATCAGCACTGTAACACAATGATGTAGTGATTGCTTCAGCCTGAATGGAGGCCAGTGGACAGGGCTGTTGCTGTATCTGTGTGTTTGGTCTCTTTCCTCCTCCTACATCCTTCCAGTAAAGTGATCCACCCACTGCCCACTAGACCACTGGGACTACAGCTACAGACTAAACTTACTCTATTAAACCTGGAAAACACTTCAGATTGTGCCTCTTTGTGGCAGATGATGACGATATATTAATTTAGAGGCCACTTGACATTATTTGGTTTGTTTTTTCTGTGGTATCTCAGGGCAAATCTGTTTTTATAACACTATGAACCTCAACTCCAAGAGTCTTCTCCTTACTACTGTGTATTTGTCACCTACCTGGTATGTAGTTGCTCTGGGGTTCAATGCCGGCAGGGAAAATGGTGTTTTCTGGGATGGAGTGACTGTAGTCATCCAGAGGAGGAAACTCACTGGGGATTTCAGTGTGACGAGGCACCAGCACTGGAGGAAGAACTTCAGAGATGGAGAGAAAGTGAAAAAGAATTAGAAAGAAGAAGAGAAAAAACATGAAACCTAAATTACAACACAAACAAAATGTATATACTGATCCACAACTGGCACAACATATTGCAGATACTTGTATACTACTATTAATGCTAAATAAGGCTGTGCGACATGGACAAGATCAATGCTAATTTGATTTTAATCAATTTTGACACAATATTTCCTTACACTTTTACATTCATAAACTCTATATTCATAAATGTGTTCTGCTTGACTATCTGAAGTAGTGTTATAGTATTTCACTTGTTTTGTGACAAAACATTTTAGATAGCAGTTAAATTTCACAATTCTCAATTACAATTTTGATACCACAGCAAAAACTACTAGCCTAACTAGTATAAATTTCTAACATTACTAAAGAGAAAACACCTAGTAAGAAAATAAGAACAACTAAACAAATTACAAGTAATAACATAAATAAACACAATAGAACAAAGATACAAATGAATAAAACAGATTGGCCAGCTATCCAGTGCATTGTGATTGGCCGAATACCTCAAACGTGTGACAGAAATGTTACGCCCCTTACCATACTGTGATGCCGTGTCCCGGCAGGAGCGACGAGACAAAACCAATAAAACTCATTACAAACGAGGCGTTTGTTGCATCCAGTGGGGACATAATTAC